TATATAGTTGATTAAAAGGTTCAGCAGCCTTTGAATACATTTCTTCACTGTAAAAGGGAAATACTTAGCTATTATGTAATTTGGATTTACATTACACAAATAATATTTATATATTCATTTATTTATTGATTTTTAATTTTATTTATTTTGATTTTATTTATTTATTTATTTATTTATTTTTTATCATTTTAAATTAATTTATTAATTTATTTTAAATTCATTTGTTTTATTTTATTAATTCATTTTTAAAATATTTATTTAAATTTTATTAATTTATTTTCATATATTTTTTATTTATTTACATATAATTAATTAATTAAGTTTATTTATTAAAATTTATTTTATTTATTATACTTTTATTATTATTCATTGTAATTTATTTTATTTATTTAAAATTAATTAATTAATTCATTAAAATTAAAAATTAAATTAAAATGAATTTGTATTTATTATAAAAGTATTTATTTAAGTTTTATTTATTTATTTTTAATTTTTATTTATTTACTGACATTTAGATTTACATCAAACAAATACTATTTATTTATTTATTGATTCATTGATTGATTTTTATTTTCTTTATTTTAGTTTAATTTATTTATTATTTTAATTTATTTAAAAAATAACTGTAATTTTCATTTATTAATTTATTTTAAATTCATTTTTTATTTCATTTGTTTATTTTTAATTAATTAATTTTAATTTAATTTATTTATTTTCATTTATTTTTAATTAATTTATTTAAATGAGATTTTTTATGAGACAAATACTACTTATTTATTCATTTATTTATTATTTTAAATTTTATTTATTTTAATTTTATTCATTTATCATTTTAATTTATTTAAAAAAGGTATTAATTAATTTATTTTAAAAATTAATTTATTTTTTTCATTTATATATTTTTAATTTATTTATTTACATTTAATTTAGTTATTTTCATTTATTTTAAATGTATTTATTTAAACTTTATTTATTTATTTAAATTTTATTTTTATCTATTTATTGACACTTAGATTTATGTTAGACAAATACAACTTATTTATTCATTTATTTACTTATTTTTAATTTTATTTATTTAAATTTTATTTATTATTTTTATATATTTTTAATTTATTTATATTTAATTAATTAATTAATTTAAATTTCTTAATGTATATTAATTTATTAAAATTTTATTATTATTTATTTTCAATTTATTTTATTTACTTTATTTAAAATTAATTAATTTGTGTTTCTATTAAATTTATTTATTTAAATTTAAATTATTTATTGACATTTATTTTCAGCGTAAAACTATTACTTATGTTTAAATGGCAAAACTTTTTTCACTTGTTTTTAAGTCCAAAGTTTTGTATTATTTGGTTACTGAGCAGCAATAAACAACACTTTAAAATATAAGCTGTTTTCATGTGATTTTTCTTAACTAGTAGTGGTTTGAAATTAATGAATGTATAATAATCGTAATTATTCCTCAGACTATAATCGCACAACCAAAATCTATAATCGTTGCATCCCTAGCCATGACACAGCCAAAAAAGCTGAAATCACCATTAACTCAAAATTCTCTCTCTCTTTGTCTTTATTGTGATTTTAGTGACGCACCCAATCAGCTATCGGTATTCTGCTGTCAGAAAGTCACATGTCTTCGTCGACGGCTCCATGTGGCTCCGGAACCTTCTGTCTTTGATTGACAGGCCCATCTGCGACCGCTGTCCCAACATGGACATGCTGGAGCCCTGCACTTCAGCAGGCGTTTCGTCTGGAAGTTTCTGGATGGAGGGTTCGAGAAGCTCTGGTCTTAATATAAGGCGAGGACGCAGCAGATAACGGCAGACCCGCGACGAGAAGACTGGAGTACAACACCTCCAAACACAAAACCACTGCAAAGACTTTCTGCACTCGAGACGACCACACAGCAAGGTAAGAGAGATATGCTGTTATATCCCTCTTAAGAGCTTTATATATGACATTCATTCAACTCTGAAGGCATTTGAATGGTTTTAGTCATGTTATATGCACAGTTTAAATATATTTCTCAAGTGATGTTGAACAGATTCAGGAATTTTTCACAGTATTTCCTATAATATTATTTCTTCTGCATAAAGTCTTGTTTTATTTTGGCTAGAATAAAAGCACACAGCATGGTAAGAGTTATATATATACTGCTGTATTTACTAAAGACACTCTTAAGAGTTTCAGTTGTGAGTGGTTTTATTGTAATTATATTAATATTATAATAATGAACCTCCACAGGATGCTTTACAGTAATATATGTGTGCAGACACATTAGATTAGTCAGTACCAAAGACAAAGCAGCTGAAGATCACACACGAGAAATTACCACACAAATTAAATCATATTATGTTAAATATGATAGCAATTACCATACAAAAAATTATTAAAATAAATAAATAAAAGAGTTTTAGATCTTGCATTTATTCAACAGTATATATATATATATATATATATATATATATATATATATATATATATATATATATAATTGATAACATTTTATAAATATATTTGCAATTATCAAACAGAAAAATTAAATATTTGCTGCGACTCCTGTTGAAAACTCAATTTAACCAAAGAAACTAGTCAAAAATGTTTGATTTATTATTTTAGATGGCAAGTTGAAAAGGTTATTATTGGATTTTTTTAAAGTTTATTATAATTTACGTATATTATATTATAGTAATCAACATTTAAAGTGGATCAAATCCTTTAACATTTTGTATTTAACAATTATTATAGAAACAAAAAAGCTACTCAATGAAAAATGCAAGATATTCTGTACGCTTTTCATTGTATTTTTGGCACATTCTGAGTTCTTTAAATTATAATAATCAATATTTTATAGTAATCGATCAATGTTTTTACAATAACATACAATATTAAGTTTTATTAGGTTATTCTTCATTAATTTAGTTATTTATTATTTTATTATTGTACCAAAATATTTTTTTTTCAGTCCTACAAGGTTTTATGAGTCCTATAGTTACTAAATGTTTGTATATGGTTACATTAAAACAAAAGAATTATAGCAAATATCTGAAAATTGTATCATTTCAGGCCACAAATATATATATATATATATGTATGTATATTTAAAAATCTCAGATGAAATCCTCTTTGAAATCAGACACTTAATTAAATAAATGCTCAAATTATACAGAAAAAAACATATGATGAGTGAATTTAAGAAAGTTCTAAAAATTTCTCTCATGCTTGTGATGGTATCTATGCTAATTGTAATCCATTTAAAAGAGTTGCACTTAGTTAAAGTATTAGTTCACCAAAGAAATGTACTTACTCTTCATTCACTTCAGTTTTTATTAAACACAAAAGACGATACTGAAAAACCCTGGTGGAAAAAAATATTTTTCTTTCCTACAGTGGTGGTCAAAATCCAACATTCTTCACAATGTCTACTTTTGTGTAAAAAAAAAACTGTAAAAATAAACTCAAATGGTTGAGCAAATGTTAATTTTTGAGTGTACTGTCCCTTTAAGAGCACATGTCTAATAATGGCAGCTGTTTCATTAGAGCTGAGCAACCCACCAACAACGCGATGCACATCTACATCCCAACTATAACCGTATTTCAGATTTCTTATGCTACCAGATTCCAACATTCCTCAAAATATCTTCTTTTGTGTTCATCATCTTAAAATTAACACAATTTATAATTTAAACGACAAGTTAATGTTCATTATTGGGTGTACTGTCCCTTTAAAAGCTCATGTCTAACAATGGCAGCTGTTTCATTAAAGCTGAGCAACCCAAAACAAAACTAGCCTAAAAATGAGAATGGGTCAGATTGCATGAGTAAAAGCACCAAATATGGGTTAAAAAGCAGTCGTTTTCACACCGTTAGGCCATTTGGTACATGTGACAGGTGCTGAGCATGTGCTCAGATCAGCTGTTGCTCAATGCTGTGACCTCTTAAAGGCACAGTACACCCACAGATGGACATTTATTCACCATTTACTCACATGTAAATCATTGTAAACTGAATGTCTTTCTACTGTTGAACACAAAAGAAGATATTCTGAAGAATGCTGTGGAAAAAAAAACAGTCATTAACTTCTATAATAAATCAGCTGTTACTCATTGACTAAGATTGAACCTCTTAAAGGGACAGTACACCCAAAACTGAACATTTACTCAGCATTAACTTACATTTAACTGATTGTAAACTGAATTTCTTCCATCTGTTGAACACGAGATAAGATATTCTGAAGATTGCTGGAAAAAAATCAGGCATTAACTTCCATAGAAAATCAGATTTTGCTCTAGGCTTAAGATTGAACCTCTTAAAGGCACAGTACACCCACAAATGAACATTTATTCACCATTTATTCATATTTAAATGATCGTAAACTAAATTTCTTTCTTCTATTGAACACAAAATAAGATATTTTGAAGTATGCCCAGGGGGAAATTAGGCATTAAGATCTATAGTAGGTCAGCTGGTGCTCAATGCTTCTGATTGAACTTTTTAAAGGGACAGTACACCCAAAAATGATCTCTGCTCTGTCCACTTTTGATGCTGAAAATTCAACTCTACAGCTTAACAAAATGACTCCTTTCAGTTTTTTTTTTCTAGAGAAACAGCTCTGTAAAATAACAGAAAATTTACTGGCATTTAATTACAAGATTTTTGTAGCAGAATATACAACACTGACCCAGACTATATGTCACTTTAAACTAATACAAATGCTCAGAAAAGCCACTTTTTACAACTTTTCAAGGTTAAAAATTGTATGAGGAAAGATCAAGATCCCATAATGCAATTCAAAAGCAGAAATAAACTGTGAAAAATAAAAACATCCATCACAAAATACAGAAAACGGCTAATTTACAGATATTTTTGACAGTGAATATCTACATTCCACCTATAAAAGTGCACCGTATTTCAGAATCCGTATGCAACTGTTTTCTCCGTCACTGTTTAAATATTATTGTTTATATTTTATCTCTGTTTCCTTTGATTTTAGATGCCTGAGAAGTCGGCCCAGCCCGTGATGGAGGAGGAGGTGGAGACGTTTGCGTTTCAGGCTGAGATCGCTCAGCTCATGTCTCTGATCATCAACACCTTCTACTCCAACAAGGAGATCTTCCTCCGAGAGCTCATCTCCAACTCCTCTGATGTACGTTTATCAGAATAATATGCTTATTAAGTTTATTTCAGTGTGTAAGAAGACACTTTTAGTTCTAAGTACAGCATTACAGTAGATATTCTACATTATAGTTGAGCATTATCTAAGTGTGAACTCTTGAACTCCAAGTAAGGAAAGCATTTCTTTGCAGTGGGGTGTTTATGCTATTTTTTTATGTTTTCTTACGTGTCTTTAAAACAGGCATTGGACAAGATCAGATATGAGAGCTTGACAGATCCGAGCAAACTGGATTCATGCAAGGACTTAAAGATCGAACTGATCCCAGACCAGAAAGAGCGCACGCTGACCATCATCGACACCGGCATCGGCATGACCAAAGCCGACCTGATCAACAATCTGGGCACCATCGCTAAATCCGGCACAAAGGCCTTCATGGAGGCTCTGCAGGCCGGAGCGGACATTTCTATGATCGGTCAGTTCGGTGTGGGCTTTTATTCTGCGTATCTGGTGGCCGAGAAAGTGACGGTCATCACCAAACACAACGATGATGAGCAGTACATTTGGGAATCTGCAGCTGGCGGATCGTTCACTGTCAAGCCAGACTTCGGTAAGAGCTCTAAAAAGGTTTACATGCTGAACAAATAAATTTGTACCCGAAATAAATGCTTAAATTTAAAGGGATAGTTCACCTAAAAATGAAAGATCCCCATCAAGTGGATAAAACAACGCATATTGTCTTGTTTTAAGAAATAACGAGTCCAAATGAAGTAAGTTTTTTCCTTAAAATAAGCAAAATAATTGTTTTTTTGACACACAATTGTTCTGCTTACCCCATTGGCAGATTATTGCATGTCAAAGGACAAAAAATTAATTATGTTGCTTGTTAATTAATCAATTAATTTTGACTCATTATTTCTTAAAACAAGACAGTATTTATTGTTTGTCTAGAAAATAATTCTTGATTTGAGAAATGTTTAGATATTAGCTGCATTATAATCATATATATATTAAGACATTTCTTAAATCATAAGAGCCCTCAGAGGTTTTCATACTATACAAATGAATCCATACTCAAAAAAAAAAACCTTAAATTAAATATATTCAAGTATATTTTTACTTGGTTAAAGTAATGTGTAAATAAACGTATTACATTTAATTTATTGATAAAATCAAGTACTTCCAAAAAGTCAAATTTAAAGAGTACACTAAAAAAAATAATTCTTAAGATTTACTTAAGTCCTAAATTTTAATTAAATTTTACAATCTTTTATCAGGTACAATTAACTTGTCTAGATCATGTAAAATGTACTTAATTTATTTAAGAGTGTTAGGTTAAACATTAAGTAAAAATTAATCAATTATCTTTACTTTGAGTCTTTATTTATTTAAATGAACCAAGTAAAGTAATTTTCTTGTTTTAGCAGAAGGAACATTGCTTTTATCAATATAAACAAACCTTATTAGTTACAAATTAGTACATTTGGTGCAACTTGGTTTAATTAAGACACACATTTCCACTTGAAATGTGTTATGTCACGTTACTTCAAGCACATTTATTTAGCAAGAGCAAATTTACTTTATAAATGCTTACTGATGTCAGCGCTACTGTTAGCACAGCTTTTCTGAGTGAAGCATCAAACATTATTGCTGATAATAAAAATGCCAAGACCCAAAGCATGAGTGCTGCTCTTCTGTAAGGTGGTAACCGCAAAACTAAAAGACATACTCAAAACTCTTCCTAATCTACAAACTAATGATGATCAAACTCTAATAAGTCTTTCTCTTAAATTTAAACACCTTAGACTGCTTTTATTTTCAAAATGCTTTTCTTTTAATTCAATCTCTTGCAAAGTATGCTGGGAACTATCCTTTGCGACTTCTACATTATTAAAACGTACTCAATATTACTAGGTTTAAGATGATTAGAAAATATTTAAATATTACAAGTAATTAAATAGCAATATTTAACTCTTTCCACTCGTTTAATTTATTACATGAAGTCAATGTGTAAATATTAAATATGTACTTAGAAAATTCTAGTCATCCTTGACACTTAATATTACAATTTAAAAATTACAAGAGTAAATTTATTAGATTTTACCACACCGAAAAGTCATTTCTTTCAGTGTAGACTAGGTGCCACAGTATGGACTAAGAATTAAATGCACACTTGAAATGGCAACTGAAAACCAGTATTATCTGATATTGTTTTGATTGCATGATGTCTTTGAGTCTTTAATGTAATTTTCGTATTTATCCATTTATTTATTTATTCATCTATGGCTTATTTTGCTTTCTACCCTTTCCAGATTCTTATGTTTGGGTGTTTTTCCAACGTAGAACGCTCTGTGTACTACATATCTCTATGTAAATTTGGAAACGTCTATAAATATCTAATAACAAATCAAGAACTTCCAAATATCTCAAGTTTTTAAGTCTAGAACAAACGGTGTAAGAGTTATGAGCACATTTGTTTTTTTCAAAGTACTATAGCCCCCCCTGTTGGCCAGATTAAACGAGTCATCTTATTTGAGTAGCATTTTGTATTTACTAACCATGTGACTTAGTTTAAAGTCTCTAGATCTTACGGTTTGGCTGGCCAATTCATTTTACGGCGTAATTATAATAATAATAATTAAACTCTTAACTAAAACAATATGCTAAACTAATAACCTTAAACCAATATGCTATAAATGCTTAACTAGTCATGTCTGATGTTTGCAATAACAGGTGAATCAATTGGACGTGGTACCAAAGTCATTCTCCACCTTAAAGAGGATCAGTCTGAATATGTGGAGGAAAAGCGCATTAAGGAAGTGGTGAAGAAGCACTCTCAGTTCATCGGTTACCCAATTACGCTTTACGTAAGTGGCTCTAAATTGGTGCGTCAACCGCAAACCTGCTAAAGTCCGCATTGCACAACATAAAACTCCCAAAAATATCTTTCAGATTGAGAAACAGAGAGAAAAAGAGGTGGATCTTGAGGAAGGCGAGAAACAGGAGGAGGAGGAGGTTGCAGCAGGCGAAGACAAAGACAAACCCAAAATTGAAGATCTGGGAGCTGATGAAGATGAAGACTCTAAGGATGGCAAGAATAAGAGGAAGAAGAAGGTGAAGGAAAAGTACATTGATGCCCAGGAGCTGAATAAGACCAAGCCGATCTGGACCCGTAACCCCGATGACATCACCAATGAGGAGTACGGCGAGTTTTACAAGAGTTTAAGCAATGACTGGGAGGATCACTTGGCTGTCAAGGTTGGTTAAAGATTCTGTTAGATATTTATTTTATTTACTGAGGCACATTAATGATGGAAAAAACATGACAGAATTAGCCAAAAAGCGATGTTGCATCTGCAGTGCCTGGGTTGGCGGTAAAATAGTCACCATACACAGCAAACAAATACCTTTCTCATCTAGTTTTTCCATCATAATGTCTATAAAGTCTTAAATCAAGAAGCATTTGCTAGACAAGCAAATAATTTTAGCTTATTGTCTGAAATAAGAAGTCAAAATTTTGTGAGGTTTACCTTAAAACAAGGGAATATGCTTTGCTTGTCTAGAAAATGCCTCTTGATTTGAAGTCTTATTAGACAAAAGCTCTCAGTGTTTAGTATTGAAAGCATTTATTGCAGTGTAAGACCATAAAACAGTCAATACATCATTTAAAATAAACAAACAAACAAAATATAAATAAATAAACATTGATTTGGACTTCAGCTAAAATATAGGGTCAAAATTGATTGTCTTTTTATGAGAAAGATAATATTCCATCAAGATTTTTTGTAAATTTCCTACAGTGCATGAATAAAGACCTTTTGTTCAATTATAAAGGGGATTTTTAACCCTCAGATTGTTGTATCTCTGTCAAATATCTCCTTTCAGAAGATGTATAAACCTGCTGCATTTCCAAAACTTGACACGTTATGATTGGTTTTGTGCTCTAGGATCACATTATTTCAGTCTAGGCTGACTAAATAAACCATTATTCTCCTTCTTGTTGCAGCATTTCTCAGTTGAGGGCCAACTGGAGTTTCGCGCTCTACTTTTTGTACCCAGAAGAGCCGCTTTTGACCTTTTTGAGAACAAGAAGAAGAGAAACAACATTAAGTTATACGTGCGCAGGGTTTTCATCATGGACAATTGCGAGGAACTCATTCCAGAATATCTCAGTAAGTGTCTTTATTATTATTTATACATCTGAAGGATTTGATTCTGATTGGCTGGTGAATATTCCAGGGTGTGTCATTATTTTCAGATAATTGCACAGCTAAAGTAGTTCCGACAAGTTTTGAGCGCATTACATATCACTACACTGAATGATTTGAGTAATTTCACAGTTGAAAATCACATCAGAAGGCTTTGGAGGACATGTGGAAGAAACTAGTGCTGCACACAGGAAATGTTAGAGGACAAAAATCTGACAAATAAACTCTCAAATATAACCTTTTTAACATCGGAGCAGCTGTGGAGACCAGACTTTAAGCAGAATATTGCACGCAGGACCACTGAATTATAAGAAAATAATGCACATCTCAGTTCATCATGAATTTTTTCTTTCTTATTTCAAGCAATAATACATTTGTACAGTAGTCAACATTTAAAGTGGATCAAACATGTTATTTATAAAGCAATAAAAGGGGTTGTTCAGAAGTTTTAAGACAACTTTCAAAGGTTTTGAACCACTTCAAATGTTGACAACTGTATATCAATGTCAACCAATAGAATAAATGCTGACTTTCCTTGACTCTAGTCTGTTAAGTTATTAGACAATAATGCTCTACTTCAGGTGTGGATTATATAAGGCATAATTGCCATACTTAAAGGATATTAAATGCATGATGCAGAAGAAACTAAGCATCCATGTTTGATGAAAGCACATTTATTTTTTGTTAACTGTGATCAAAACTGACTGGAACTACCTGTGTGCATTAAAAATAATATTACACACTTTCCAGCCAATCAGAAACGAGTATTTCAACAGACCATTGTGTCATTTCTAACAATTCAATTGTTTGTTCTCAATTATTTCTTACTCATTCCAAAGTAATAATACACTATATAACATTCACAAAATCAACATTCCTTCCAGACTTTATTAAGGGTGTGGTGGACTCTGAGGATCTGCCTCTGAACATCTCCAGAGAAATGCTTCAACAGAGCAAAATCCTGAAGGTGATCCGCAAAAACCTGGTCAAGAAGTGTCTCGATCTCTTCACCGAACTGGCAGAGGATAAAGACAACTATAAGAAATACTACGAGCAGTTCTCCAAAAACATCAAGGTGAATGTGCTACTCAAGTAACTAACGAACACAGAAATATAGAAAGTGCCCAAAATAACATGTTTCTTCTTCTTTTAGCTTGGCATCCACGAGGACTCTCAGAATCGCAAGAAACTTTCTGATCTTTTGCGCTACTACACTTCAGCTTCAGGAGATGAGATGGTGTCACTTAAAGACTATGTGTCTCGCATGAAGGACACACAGAAGCACATCTACTACATCACCGGTTAGTAGCGATTCAGTGAATTAACAGTCAGTGTTTTGAGTTATGGATTATAAGAAATGAGAGTTATGTAATCATTTACTTGAAAAAGTAATCTGATTACATAAGTTGGATTACCCTTAATAAATGAAAAAACTAATGAGTAATTTGCGAAACAACATTTTGGAAGAGGTTTTCTTTTAAGGTAAAAAGTAATCCCTTACTTTACTAGTTACTTGACATTGTAATCTGATTACTTTTAATCTTAAAAGAAAATATCTGAGTTACTTTTTTAAAAAAGAACTGGAAGTTACTTCAACTTCACATTTATTACAAATAATGCAAGTTATGCAATCAGATAATTTTTTCAAGTACCTAGTGAAGTAACAGATTACTTTTTAACTTCCAAGAAAATGCAGAGTTTTTCCAAAATGTATCGCTAGATACTTTTCATTTCATTTTAAGTAATGTGAGTAAAGTAATCAGACTACTTTTTCATGTAACTACTGATGTAACAAATTACTTGAAGTTAAAAGAAAATATGTGACACAAGTTAAGTAATCAGATTACTTTTCAAGTAACTAGTAAAATATTAAATTAATAATAGTGAGTTACTTGAATCTTCCTGAATTTTCCACCAGTTAGTTTTCTCATTTATTATGGGTAATACAAGTTATGTAATCAGATTACTTACTCAAGTAACTAATAAAGTACCAGATTACATTTACAAAAAGTTATGCCGTTACTTAGTTTTCTCATTTCTTACAAGTAACAAGTTTCTTTAAAAAGTATCACACTTAAGTTACTTTTTGAATTAGTAACTACTAAAGTAACATTACTTTCTAACCTCCAAGAAAATATGTAAATTACTTTCTCCAAAATGTTAAAAATTGCCCAATCACTTTCTTATTTATTGCACAATTTATGTAATTAGATTACTTTTCAAGTAACTATTAAAGTAACAGATTACTTTTTAACTTCCAAAAAAATATGTGTTACTTTTTCCAAAATGTGTCGCTAGTTAAATAGTTTTCTCATTCAATACGAGTAATGCAATTTATGCAGTCAGATTACATTTTCAAATAACAAGTAAAGTAACAAGATTACTTTTGAACTTTTAAGAATATATCTGAGTTACTTAGTTTTTCTCATGTATTGTACGTAATATGAGTAATCAGATTACTTTTTCATGTAACTACTTTTTCATGCAGATTACTTTTTAACAAAGAAACGGCAGTTTCTTTGATTTTACATTTATTATAAATAACACAAGTTATGTAATCAGATTAATTTTAAAGTATCTAGGAAAATAACAGATTACTTTTTAAATTCTAAGAATATATCTGAGTTACTTTTTCGAAAATGTACCGCCAGTTACTTCGTTTTCTTATTCATTAGGGGAAATACAAGTTAAGTAATCAGATTACTTTTTCAAGTAACTAATAAATTAAAGGATTACCTTTACAAAAAGTTATGCCATTACTTCGTTTTCTTATTTATTACAAAGTAACAAACTTAGTTTAAATAAGTAACTAGTAAAGTAACATTACTTTCTAACCTCCAAAAAAAATTTTTTTGAAAATGCTTTTCCAAAATGTATCGCAGGTTACTTTGTTTTTTCATTTATTACAAGTAATGTGAGTAAGGTAATCAGATTACTTTTTCATGTAACTACTTAATTAAGAAATTACTTTTTAAGTTAAAAAAATATCTTGAGTTACTTTTAAAAAAAGGACCGGCAGTTACTTCGATTTTACATTTATTACAACTAATGCAAGTTAGAAAGAAAGTAAGAACGTAACGGATTACTTTTTAACTGCCAAAAAATATGTGTTTCAAAATGTGTCGCTAGTTACTTAGTTTTTTCATTTATTACAGTTATTGCAATTTATGTAATCAGGTTACTTTTTCAAGTAACTAATAAAGTAACAGGTTACTTTTTCAAAAAAGTAATGTCTTTACTTAGTTTTCTCATTTATTACAAGTAACAAGTTTCTTTAAAATGTACTTTAAGAAGTACTTACTTTTAGTTACATTTATTTAAATAAGCAATTCAAGACTGAAATGCTTTACTTTTCAGTCAGTTAACCAAAGTTAGTTAACACTGTTCAATTAATCTTTATTTCTATAGTGCTTTTACAATGTAGATTGTATCAAAGCAGATTAACACGGATGAAGTTCTTGTAAATTGAAACTGCTTTCGTCCAGTTTTCACAGTTGAAGTTTAGTTCAGTGTAATGCAAATGTCACTGCTAAAAGCCTAAAGCTGCTAATAGTTAATGTGAAATTACTAGCCATTTTCTTACAACCCTTAAATTAATGTTCTTCCCTAAAGGTGAGACCAAAGATCAGGTGGCGAACTCAGCGTTTGTGGAGCGCCTCCGTAAAGCTGGTCTGGAGGTGATCTACATGATCGAGCCCATCGATGAATACTGTGTTCAGCAGCTGAAGGAATATGATGGCAAGAATCTGGTGTCGGTCACTAAAGAAGGCCTGGAGCTGCCCGAGGATGAAGAGGAGAAGAAGAAGCAGGATGAGCTGAAGGCCAAATATGAGAACTTGTGCAAGATCATGAAGGATATCCTCGACAAAAAGATTGAGAAGGTATTAGCTGTTAGCATGCAAGACAAACATTTTGAACTGAATACTCTATAGCAGGGGTTCTCAAAGTGGGGGTCGGGACCCCTCGAGGGGTCGCAGGACAATGAAGGAGGGTCGCCTGGTGATTTAAAAAAATCGATTTATTATTATTAAAGCATATAAGAATGACCATATTTTATCCATAACCTACTGAAGAGAAAAAAATAGTCGTTTATAATTACTATATAGTTACTATAGTAGCTTATAGTTACTAGTTCTATTGGATTGCGACCCCAGTGGTAATTACATTATATTAAAGACACAGCAATAGCGTCAGATGCAGCAGATTGATTTTATAACTCCTGGTTAAAGTTTCTGGCCCATTTACCGCACTGACATTAAACGAATAATATACCTGGGTGTATTGGTGTGTGTGTGACATTGCATGCAAGCTTTCTGTATTCATAACCAGGATATTGAGGGTCGCGAGTCACTGGCATCGTCATATTGGGGGTCGCAGGCTGTAAAGTTTGGGAACCCCTGCTCTATAGTACTAGAGATGCACCAAAATTGAAATTCTGGGCCAAAAGTGAAAGTTCTTGGTGCACTTGGCTGAAAATTTAAAACTGAAAGTTTGAGAATGATTTGTTATAGTGTTTTAGTTTCGGTTTCAATCAAGTCGTCCGCATAAGATCAACACATTCAGTTCGAGAAGAAAATTCACATTCACAATTCACAAATTGAAGCAAAAAACATCCTTTGAGTAATCGAGAGCGAGTGACGAGATGCTAATTTTCGTAAACAAAATTACGAATTTGAACTGGTAGATTACACACAAAGTCAATGAGTATGTGAAAAAATAGTAGTAATCCACGCAGAATTTCCAGAGGGTGTATTACTACTATTTGATCATGCATATAATTTGATTCTGAACAGGTCACAGTCTCCGACCATTTAATCTTTAACAACTAAAAAATCATGCGAGCTAATGACTCAAAGCAAATGCCCAAATAGAGGTGAAAATCCACTGGGTGGCACGAATGAGGCAAAATACACAGTGTATTACTATTACTTGCTCATGCATATAATTTGTGTCTGAATAGGTCACCGTCTCCAACCGTCTGGTGTCTTCGCCCTGCTGTATCGTCACCAGCACATACGGCTGGACGGCGAACATGGAGAGGATCATGAAGTCTCAGGCTCTGAGGGATAACTCTACCATGGGCTACATGACCGCTAAAAAGCACCTAGAAATAAACCCAGCACACCCCATCGTGGAGACCCTCAGAGAGAAAGCGGAAGCCGACAAAAACGACAAGGCGGTGAAGGATCTGGTGATCCTGCTGTTCGAGACGGCGCTCTTATCCTCAGGCTTCACACTGGACGACCCACAGACTCATGCAAACCGCATCTACAGGATGATCAAACTCGGACTTGGTAAGTCTGATGGCTACAGAAGCTAGAGAACTTTATTATATAATATAGTCACAGTTGGATTTGTGTATTGCATGTATGGGGGGCCTAACTATGAGAAGAATACTTAATTATTATTTATTCATAATAATTATTATTATTATAAATATTATTAATACTTAATAATGAAGAATAATTACTATTAATATTAATAGTTTTATATAAAAATGGGCCTTTTGGATGGGGGATTTCTTAAGTAATTCATTATTTCACTTTTTATAAATGAATTTTTTGACAAATTACAGTAAAAAAATTATGATATTTTAAAAAGTATTCATAGCAGGGCCGGCTCTAGGCATGGGCAGGGGTGGGCTCAACCAACCCAAATGTCTGTCTTTCCCACCCAGTCAAAAAGACAGCAGTATATACATTTGTTTTTGATTTTCTTTTGTACGATTTATGAATTGATTAAAGCAGTAAGGTGGGCTCTGTGTTGAAAAAGGGGCGTTGAAAGCTCTGACCAATTATAACGAAACACCAAACTGTTTGATTGGCTGTAAGTAATAGCGCGCTCTGGATGCATAAGCCCAGACTGCTTGCCTTCAGGCTGTTACAGCCATAGGTTACACGCCGACATATTGTGTAGTAGCATGTCAGGGCGTCCCGAGTTCGAATCCCTCGAAACAGAAAGATTTAATTATATTTAATGTGTTTTTCTGTAGGCATCGATGACGATGACTCTGTGGTCGAGGAAATCTCTCAACCCGCTGAAGAAGATATGCCCGTTCTGGAGGGAGACGACGACACTTCGAGAATGGAGGAAGTCGACTAAAGAGTTTTAGTGTACAAATAAAATCCGTAATGTAATGTAATTTATTGTTTTTGTATAAAACAATCCAGACATATCACAGTGAATGTTAGCTACTTTAAAGTCCTTGTAATTGCCTTGTGTGTCTGCTCTTGCATTTTATAATTCAAACTTTCTTTTTGTAAACCTAAGCTGAACGTTTTTAATAAATGACTCCTTATAAATAAAGGATCTGACGTTCGTTTTTATTTTGCCACAATTCCTTGCTATCATTATATTGAGAAATATTAAAATCTAGCGTATTAAAGGGACAGCTCACCCAATAAATAAATTACCTCACAATTTACTTTTAAAACTTATAAAAGTTTCTTTCTTCTCTTGAACCCAAAAATAAGATATTCTAAAGATTATTGACCAAAAGCAGCCATTCAAATCTATAGTAGAAACGAAAACTATGTTAAGAATACATCCATATATCAATTATAGCACTATTTTTGTGACACATACTCACAATAATTAGCTGTAAAGGGTATGTTTAAGGTTGTAATTGGTGTAGACGTTAGTAAAACACAGTTTAATATGGTAATTTAATAAGTAAAATTGAAATAGTTTTAAGTTGTAGCTGTAAACACTTATAGCAACAACCCAAAATATACTGTTTAAGTCTGTTAGGTTTACTGCTTGTTCTTTTTTTCAACATTGTTCTGTATATCTTTATGTTCAACAGATAAAGGTTTTGGGGGTGAGTACATAACGACAAAATTAAAATATTTGGGTTGAACTAATTCTTTTAATTATATTAAAAACGACCTCAACTTTTCAGTCAGAATTTGAGAGCGATCTAGAAAATTCATGCACCTCAGTCTTAGCACCGCCCCTTCAGCCGTTGTAGTGTTTGATTGACAGCCAGGTCCCTCCCTCTTCTTCTATTGGAAAAGCGTTAAGAAGCTTCGAGAGGGTTCAGGAGATCCGGCGGCTTCTCGAACAATCTCTGCCCGTGTATATAAGCTCGCCAGCGGACTCGAGAGCGACTAGAACCCGCTGACGCTGGAGAAGAGGAAATACAGCGAATAATTCAACAAAGAAACTCTCAGAATAAACCACTCGAGGTAAGAAGCAATTATAAACATGTCAGCATCTAAATACTCCAACGTTATATTGACGTTTAATCGCATTTAATTAATTTGTCAACTTACGTTTATATGACGGTTGCGATGCTAATTACATAACGAATTATCATTTGTATGTAAGCAAATGTGAATAATGTGCAAGTTTAGAGGTTTTGCTCCACTTTTGATTCACTGTTAATATATTTAAAGTGGGTTAACTTTAATAGTGATATGACAGCTACTTGAATTAAGTCCTCGGGACCATCTGGAGTTGATCAGTTTTACCTCAGAGAGGATTTACATCAGATTAAACCAAGCTATTAAAAGATTTACGATCAATAAACGTGTCGTGCAAGCATTTGAGCAAGTAGATTTGACGGTATGCTATTATTATAAGTGCATGTTTATTTAAATATGCTAACTGTGAACGTGCACGCTAATAATATAACGTTGGCAAACATTTGGAAGTTTAATTAGGTGTGAATTACCGGGTATTTATTGTAATTGCAGTGTGTCATACGCATATTTGTGTTTTATTTACAGTTAGGTGATGTGATGCGCTCCATGTTAATGAACGGAGAGTTTGGTAGCTTCTAGAAGCTGGTTATGCGCGCTCTCAACGGCAGGGGGCGCGCACTCGGAGGAAACGTGCGAACAGTGTGTTCTGGACACAATTCATGTGTTTTTATGCTTAATATAAATGAACTCTCTTGAGGACATCTTTTGCAGAGTGACACCAGAAAAGATTTTAGAATATTTTTTATCATGTATTTACACTAAAAATCTTATTTAATTTATGGTTTCTTTCGATTTTTAATAATATATTTATTATTGAAATATTCCTGCCATGAAAATAGCCTTTGGTACAGACATGGCATTAAATAAAAATAAATTACATTACATTATATTTTTAATATAACTCTGTTCTGTTCGAATTAAGTCTGGTTGTGAGGCGTCATGTGCTTCAGTGTATCGTAAACTGCTCAGTTTTTACATTTTATTTGCATATTATCCTATTTAGTTTCTTATATCTTCATTTATTAATACAATATTAAATGATTTATCTTCATTAATAAATTATTGTCAATTATTGTAACTTCAAAGATGATTGAATGTGCCTTTTTTCCAAAGTCTAAATGAGTAGAATAGATTGAACACACATCATATACGTTAACAAAATAAAGCACACAGATCAACAATAAACAAGTAAAACACAACATACAGACACAGTGTCATACATTTCATAATTTTTTTTCATTGTTTTATTGTTTTTATTTTTTATTTTATATATATTTGTAGAGTGTGAAATGCATAGTCCTGACATCTATATAGAATATTTTACAGACATTGAGTTTAAATGATTTTTTAATACTAAAATTTTATTTGAATATAGTAATTTTTTCCTTCATTTTAGATGCCTGAGGCTCACGAGCAGCAGATGATGGAGGATGAGGAGGTGGAGACGTTTGCGTTTCAGGCTGAGATCGCTCAGCTCATGTCTCTGATCATCAACACCTTCTACTCCAACAAGGAGATCTTCCTCCGAGAGCTCATCTCCAACTCCTCTGATGTACGTTTATCACTCCACACTTGCAGGAAAAGTACAAACAAAGATAAAAAACTGAGGGGTTTTCAGCTTGTAAAGGCCTGTTCATACCAAGCATTATAACGATAGAGATACGCAGTTAAAGTCAGAATTATTCGCGCTCCTGTGAATTTTTATTTTAAATGTCTCCCAAATGATGTTTAACAGATTCAGCAATTTTTCACAGAATTTCCTATAATATTTTTTTCTTCTGAAGTAAGTCTTATTTGTTTTATTGTGGCTAGAATAAAAACTTCAGCCCCCTTCAGCAAAGTTAGTGTTGGATTGTCTCCAGAACAAACCACTGTTATACACTGACTTGCCTAATTACCCTAACTTTACCCTAATTACCTTAGTGAAGCCTTTAAATGTCACTTTAAGCTGAATACTCGTTTCTTAAAGAATATCTAGTCTAATATTAGGATTAAAGAAATTAGAAATGAGTTATTAAAAATATTATGTATAAAATATGTTTGCAAAATTGTCTCTGTTAAATAGAAATTCTGTAGAAAATGTAAAAGAAATAATATTGAACTGGAGGACTAATAATTCTGACATCAGTTTTAGATGTAAAAATGGTTGAAAGTGTTAAAGAATAGCTCAGCACAACTTCATTAATGAAGATAAATATAGTCATATATTATATCGTAAATATTGATATTGTCTCTTTAGAAGGATTTTATAAAACACTGGCAGTCAATGAGAATCCAGTGAAAATGAAATATTTGTAACCTTCATATTAAGGCTGCACAATATAAAATTTCAGCATCGATATCGCAATGTGATCATTCGCAATAGTCACATCAGAGGATATGCAATGTTGAGTTTCTATTATAATTTTTCATTTGCGTGTCTTTTTAATGCATGTAAGTGTATAATGATTTTAAAAGCATTCAGTTATGAAAAACTGTCCCATTTATGATCTTAACTACAATTAATTTTATGAAATTGTTTTTATTTTCATCATTCAGTTATCGTACTTCAATACTGTTAGACTCAGGCCACGATAAAACACTTTATTTCAACTGTATCTTTTTCTTGATTATATTTATAGATTGCTATGCATACAAATACTCACAGCACATGCAAATACAGAGATAGCACAGACCACAACGGAAATGTGTCGGAGGTCCCCAGAAAGTTCATAGATTGTTTATTAGATTTTATGCAGATGCACTCTTACTGCAGAGTCATGCCAATCGATCTAACATTAGATTCTTTCAAAATAGAGATATTAATTCAAAGTAAAAAATATCCCAATGTTAGATTTTTCCAATATTGTGCAACTCTACTTTATATACACACTCTAGGGACCTCAGAAACTTATTTTATATCTTGTAAAAAGGGGCGTAATAGGTTTCCTTTAAGTAGCTATAAGTAAAAAATTTGTGTTAAATAATATTAAAAACGTATCAGTTTATTTCCACCATTGTTTCATACTGTTTGATAACATGCAACTAAAATGAACTCTCTTAATTTTCTATCAGGCTTTGGACAAAATCCGCTATGAAAGTCTCACAGACCCAAGCAAGCTGGACTCAGGAAAAGACCTTAAAATCGAAATCATTCCCAACAAAGAAGAGCGCACGCTGACCATCATCGACACCGGCATCGGCATGACCAAAGCCGACCTGATCAACAATCTGGGCACCATCGCTAAATCCGGCACAAAGGCCTTCATGGAGGCTCTGCAGGCCGGAGCGGACATTTCTATGATCGGTCAGTTCGGTGTGGGCTTTTATTCTGCGTATCTGGTGGCCGAGAAAGTGACGGTCATCACCAAACATCTCGATGATGAGCAGTACGCGTGGGAATCGTCTGCTGGCGGATCGTTCACTGTCAAAGTGGATAACTGTAAGTAACCCGCATTTTTAATGACATGCACAGATGCTTTGCATAATGATATAATGGCATTTTTTGGTCCTAAAATTTGATGTCAATGGATGGTTCAAATTAATTTAAGTTAGTAGTTATTTCCTAGCCACATGTTTTAAATTAATAATGTGTCAAAAGCCAAACATAATCTATACTTTTTATTCAGCAGAACTTTTCTTTTAATACAAAAAAAAAAAAAATTACAACTGTGATGTAACTAAATTTGGAATTAATAATGATATATATATATGTATATATATATATGGTCGAAATTAACCTTTAATATTAGCATTTAATATATTTTTTATTTTAAATGCAAAGATGACATTGGTTGTTATAAAAACTTGACATAAACAAATAAGTCACAACCTGTTTTTGTCTTCATATGACAAATTGAGGTTACCAAGACAACAGAACTTGTCATAAATCTATCATAAACATGATTGTCATGAAGCCGTTATAAATACCTCTTGAATATTTATATCAATAATATTAATATATATTGTTGACCTCAACTACAGTGGAACAAGTTAAATTTGTCATAAAAATGGCATTAAAGAATAATAATTTTGTTAAATATAATCTAAAAACGTTCATGACACATTTATAATGCCCTCATAACAATCATGTTTAGGACAGGTTTTGTAATGTTAATTGTAATAATTGTATGTTTTCTGACATTTTTTTTTTTTGAAAATGTATAAAGGCAAGGTTATATTATAAATTAATATTATATAAAAGGTCACGAGGGTGCATGAATCTTTACAAAATAATAAATTGCACAGGTCACTAAATTTTAATAATAACTGCAAAATACTGCATTTTTTATTCTCTGCAGCTGAGCCAATCGGCCGTGGCACAAAAGTGATTCTTCATCTGAAGGAGGATCAGACAGAGTACATCGAAGAGCGGCGGATCAAAGAGATCGTCAAGAAACACTCGCAGTTTATTGGATACCCTATCACACTCTTTGTAAGTGTTTTTAGCATCCATCTGTTTCTTAAAGGGACAAAACTGAAAATTGCATTGCGTTCGTTGTGTTTCAATTTCGTCCTCCGAGTCACGACTGATTTGTTGGAGAAGAAAAAAACACCACAGTGGCAAATCCCAACACCTCAAACTACATTTATGTCTGATATTTTTTTGATCTCATTAAATAGAGAGAGTGCCTGTTTATGCGATATTACCAACATGGGTTCATTCTGAAAACGTAGCCCTATATACATTTCTGGAGAATACGAATTGTGTAGCCAGAGGAATGTATGGCTGCATTTTGTCTTGTAAACGAACCCTATGGGGCGGTATGCTTTTTTTACGCAGTACCAGCTGAAGGTATACTTCCATGTGGATGGCTTTTTACAATCACTGGACAACTGTTACCAGTTTGTCCAGTAGCTCGCCATGTACATCGGCGGACTTGAGACCTAGAGAAAAGTTGACAGTTACGATGAGGTTTGAGTCTGGCGAAGAACATTTCCAGAAGGCGCGCAAGACAAAAACAGAAGCCAAAAAATAAATGAATCAGTGCTTTTGAAAACACTATTGGTTGGGTTTAGGGAAGAAGGAGGGTGGGTCAGTCAGTCAACAGTGGCCTCTGGTAGATTTATGTGAGAAGGGGCGAATGGCACTCACGAGAGGAATTTGAGATGGTAATTAAATAATAAAAAAATAATAATTCTATAAAAATGATTGATAATAAAGTTACAAATGCTATTAAAAGCCTCCGTCATAGGCCTTAAACACATACAAATGATAAACTATAATGACAAGACTACTGTGAAAGATCACACTGATATTGATGATGTGAATGCTGAAACCGTATATTGATCTATTGCACAGCCCTATACCTAATTCACATCTTTAGATGGAATCACAGCTTCTGCCGGTCAAACATTTTTATTTTTCAATACTCACTCATGCACACGAGTAAATTTTTTAATTAGCAACCATATCCTCTTGCTTCAGGTGGAGAAGGAGCGCGATAAGGAGGTGAGCGATGATGAGGCGGAAGAGGAGAAAGAGAAGGAGAAAGAAGAAGAAGAAGAGGGCGAGAAAGACGAAGACAAGCCTGAGATTGAAGACGTAGGCTCAGATGAGGACGACCACGATCATGGCGATAAGTGTGGCGACAAGAAGAAGAAAAAGAAGAAGATCAAGGAGAAATACATCGATCAGGAGGAGCTGAACAAAACCAAACCGCTGTGGACCCGCAACCCTGATGACATCACCAACGAAGAGTACGGAGAGTTTTACAAGAGCCTGACCAACGACTGGGAGGATCATCTGGCTGTTAAGGTGACTTAAGCTCCCGTAAAGTGCTTTGTAATGTGCATTTTTTTATTTAATGTTTGGCGTAATCTCAAATAAATCATGAAGAAAGGAAAGGGTGGGGTATTTACTTGCCCATCCCCCTTAAAAAAACAACCAGTAGCATTTAGTTTAATCTCAGTTCTGCAGGTGAGAGTGGTTGAGCTCAGGCGCAACAAACAAACTGCCAATGCGAAGAAGGGGATGGGGCATGTCATACACTAGAGAGCATTTGATTGGTCAGAAGATTTGATGAGTAATCTAAGTATATGAGGTGACGTTAAAAAAATCATTCGTTTAGGCGGATGTGACACACTGCAAACTTTATATCAGGTGTATATCTTCTACATGTGAATTTTGTGTTTTGGAGCACACCTGATCATAGATATCCTTACATTTAACATACTAACAATTAAGAAACGTATTGTAATATCAAAGGATCTTTAATTAGTTTCATAGCAAATATAAAATAATGTTATTCTTAAAGGTATTGTTTACCCAAAAGTAGCAATGTACTCGTCTTTAAGTGGTTTAAAACCCTTATAAAATGTCTAAACCCAAAAATAAAAGTAAGTTTCTTTCTTCTATTGAAAACAAATGAAAGAAACTGTAAGGATCACTAGCAATCGAGTGGCTACAGATTAATGGTAAACACGCAGATCTCAATGGACTACAAATCCACCATTACGTGGACTACAAGTTACAGTCATGCACCGCTCACACGCACCTGTTCCGAGTTCTGGTGATTATACACACAGAGACACAGCTGAAGCTCATTATTCATTCATTACAAGGACTATAAATACAGCTCGCACACACTCACACATCGGTGCTGGGTCTTGTAAATAGTTTTGTAAACATTACGACTTGTTTTTCTTGCCTAGTCTTGCTGTGTTTTTGACCTTCGTCTTGTTTGTTAATGTTGTTTGCTGCATGCCTGTCCTGACCAATCGCCTGTGTATTTGACTTCGACTCTGTATTACCCGTTTACCAAGCATTCAGCAGATCTGTAGTGTTAAAAGCACATTATTTAACTGTTGTGTTTTATTCTCGCAGCACTTTTCAGTGGAAGGTCAGCTGGAATTTCGCGCGCTGCTTTTTGTCCCTCGTCGAGCTCCATTCGATCTGTTTGAGAACAAGAAAAAGAAGAATAACATCAAACTGTACGTGCGCAGGGTGTTCATCATGGACAACTGTGACGAGCTCATACCAGAATATCTCAGTAAGTGTCTGATCACAAACACTAATATCAGGTTTAATTGGTTGATGTTCACATTTTATGCCTTAAAAAGTCTTAAATACACAGAAAAATTGTGTTGTAGGTATTAAATGATTGTAAATATGTCTTCATTTTAAATTTCTCTAAGTAAAGTTATCCAATCAGACAAATTACACACAATCCATCCTAATAGTTTTTTTGATGACACTTTGCAATAAGGTTGTATTAATGAATATTAGTTAATGCATTTACTAAAATAAACAAACAATAAGCAATAAATTGGGTACAGTATTTGTTCATGTTAGTAAACACTAATAAAAATACATGTTCATTGTTAATTTGTCAACTCACGATGCATAACTAAAGTAACTTGCATAAATTTGTATGTTAATAATGCATTAGTAGATGTTGAACTAGGATTAATAAATGCTGTTCATGATCATTCGTTTATTAGTTCATGTTACATTAACCAACGAAACATTATTGTGAAGTGTGCCCTAAATATAAGTTGTTTTTTACCTTGCAAAATGATGCAATTCACAACAGCTGTTAAACATTTTTACAGCAAATTATCTTAATTAAATTCTCTAATCAGGAAAAGAAATGTGCCAGTAGTGTGATCTGCCTTATCTGTATATATATATACACGAAATGAGAATCAATATACATTTAAAATGAAAGATGGCACATTTACGATACAAATCAAGTACATTTAAGAGAGTTTCAATTCAATGTTATCTTGGGGCAAACGTATCATCAGAAAATTTCTTTTGAATACTATAATGTACTGTACTGTACTATACTATATTGTATTATACTATACTTTAATGATTAGCGTCTAATATTTTGTGATGAAGTATGCTCATGTATGTTAATTGTAAAGCACTTGAAAATGAGTCTGGAAATTGCTTAGAAAGTGCTTAATACCATGATTGATTATATTGCATGCTGTTTTTTATTGGTAATTGAGATTTAGGCATCATCTAAAAGCTATTTAAAAAAAAAAAAAAAATATATATATATATATATATATATATATATATATATATATATATATATATATATATATATATATATATATATATATAAGCTCTTCATTAATATATGATTTATTTGGACTATATTCGACTGAGATTACCATTGCTAATCAAAAGTTACATTTTGAAAATAAAGACTAACAATTAAGTTTTTATACATTAACAGTATGTAAAAAATGGAACATAATCTTCTTTACTTAATAATCTAATAATGTTTGGCATAAAAAGAAATTATTTTGACCCACACAATGTAACTTTGGCTATTGTTAAAAATCAGTCCATGCAACATAAGACTGCTTATGTGCTCCAGGCTCACATATGAAGCACAAGCTAAAGTGTTTTTTTTTATCAAAAGACCTATTGCTTGTAAGGCCAGGCAGATTTTTTATTTATTTCTGTTGCACATTTCATACACAAAGGTAATTAAAGTGCTTTACATAAACAAGAATAAAAAGGAAACAATGAGAAAGATCTGCTGTGCTTTGTATGTTGTATTTAGCTTGTAAAAATCCGAGAAACAATGTTCAAAATAAAGAAGGAAATAAAAGAAATATAAAATAGAGCAGATAAAATATAATAAGTAAAAAACAATACAGAATAAAAACAGATTATGTGTTAAAACAGGTATTAAAGAAATGAAAGATGCGTAGTAGATTGTGTGTAACAGGCAAAGTTTTATTACTGACAGGCCTGTTGGATGTGTGCATTTGTTTCTCCTTCCAGACTTTATTAAGGGTGTGGTGGACTCTGAGGATCTGCCTCTGAACATCTCCAGAGAAATGCTTCAACAGAGCAAAATCCTGAAGGTGATCCGCAAAAACCTGGTCAAGAAGTGTCTGGAGCTCTTCACCGAACTGGCAGAGGATAAAGACAACTATAAGAAATACTACGAGCAGTTCTCCAAAAACATCAAGGTGAAAACTCACACTCCAGTCTCATAAGACCTGTTCAGATGTGGGGTTTTTTTCTGCAGGGGTTTTAATGTTTGTCCACTTGAAAACATAATATCTGGTCACAAAAACCAAAATTTTCAACACAGGCTTATTGTGAAAACGTACCACTGTATACATTTCTGGAGAGCACAGGGGCTTTCCTTTTTCTGGATTGCTTTTGAAAACACTGTCGGTTGGGTTTAGGGAAGAGGGTGGGCGGGGGAATCTGTAGGTTGGTTGGTCGGTCAGTCAGTCAACATCTGTTTACCTGAAAACAGCAGGCATGAATGGCACTCGCGAAAACGAAAAACGTAGCTCCTGGGACGTATTTGGCGCATTCCAGAAATGCATAGAGGGGTACATTTTTTAGAATGAGCCTGGGTTGGAAACTTTCTGAAGTCTTCGGCCAGGGTGAACATTTTCAGAAAGTCTGAGTACAGTGTGGTCGTGTGGACAATCCTTTCTGATTGGCCAACTCTGCTGGGCTCACACCTAAAGCAGATGTGATTGAGGAAAATCCTGCATGTTCGCGAGTTCCATGACATTCAAACCGTTAATCCGCCTCTGTTCTCACATTGGCAATGACTTGTTACATGCAGTGTACTTGAGCAAATACCTAGAGTGTGTCTCAATCAGCACCCTTGGCGTCAGCTATTTTTTAAGTGCTGTATTTATGTCAAAAAAATAACTTAGTTTTGATCAAATATTAATCATGCACTTACTTAAATACAATTGGTCGATTAATATTCTCTCCAACATACACGAGTTGCCAAATCTGGTTGTTTACGTAAAATAGCTCTTTTATTGATGTCTTTTGGAATGATTTCATTATGACTACAGGCTTTATTTTTTCAATGACTAAATGAAAATTACTATTTATAATTACTATTAATGTCCCACAACTGGGTTGCAGCTGGAAGGGCATCCGCTGTGTAAACTATATGCTGGAATAGTTGGTGGTTCATTCCGCTGTGGCGACCCCTGATGAATAAAGGGACTAAGCCGAAGAAAAATGAATGAATGAATTACTATAAAGTACTCAACCTCAAAAGGTTTCAAACCATGTCTGAGTTTCTTTCTTCTACTGAACACAAAAGATAATGTACTGACAAAAGTGGAAGACCTGAAACCATTGACTGACATAATAGGAAAAACTAATACCATTGTAATCGATATTCACAGGATTTCAGCTATTTTCAAATTATCTCCTTTTGTGGTCAACAGAATAAAGAAATTCAGATGGGTTTGGAACAAGTAAAGGGTGTATAAATGATGACAGAAATGTCAGTTTCAGGTGAACTATCCCCTAACTAATCTGTGCATAACTGTGTATGACTCTGAGAGGTAAACAAATGCTGTTGTTTTACAGCTGGGCATCCATGAAGACTCGCAGAACAGAAAGAAACTGTCAGAGCTGCTGCGCTACTACACATCCGCTTCAGGAGACGAGATGGTGTCGCTCAAAGATTACGTCACACGCATGAAGGACACGCAGAAGCACATCTACTACATCACCGGTAAAAATACACTGATAACATACACTGGAAATACACTGCAGCAATCATCACATGAGCTAACTGCTTTATTTGAGCATCAGTCATATCAGTAATACAGTATCAGTATCTTCAGTCACTTAAACACTTAAAAACCAACATAGGAATGTTAATAAGTACAAATAAATGCCATCACAACTCAAATAAATACAAAAAAATGCAAAGTTTGATGGTTGCACTGCAAAAAATGTTCAGATATCTATAAATTTATTAAATCAAGAAGCATTTTTAGAAACATTATGTTAAAATAAAGCGAGTTCTTCCTTAAATCAAGCAAAATAATCTTCCGATGGTGTGAAATAATCTATTAAAGGTTAGTTTTCATGCTACTAATATTTTTAGCAGATACTTTTACTCTACTTGCACTTAATTTTTTTGTGCAATTAATAGTACTTGAATTTGACTCTGATTTTTTAATGCTCTTTCCACCACTGCTGAGTTTTCACCAATGTTTTGCATGTTCTGCAGGTGAGACCAAAGATCAGGTGGCGAACTCAGCGTTTGTGGAGCGCCTCCGTAAAGCAGGTCTGGAGGTGATCTACATGATCGAGCCCATCGACGAATACTGTGTTCAGCAGCTGAAGGAGTTCGAAGGCAAGAATCTGGTGTCGGTCACTAAAGAAGGCCTGGAGCTGCCCGAGGATGAGGAGGAGAAGAAGAAGCAGGAGGAGAAGAAGAGCAAGTTTGAAAACCTCTGCAAGATCATGAAGGACATCCTGGAGAAGAAAGTGGAGAAGGTAAAGATCCGATAAACCAACACTACAGTTCAACCTTATATATATATATATATATTAGTGCAGTCAATCGATTAAAAAAAATCGCACCTTTTTAAAAAAAATTATCGCAATTAATCACATTTAAAATACTGAAACTTGTAATTTTGGCTATTTAAATGTAAAATTAATGTAAACGCAAGACAAAAACTATTTGAATTCAAAATATTATTGTTTAATAGAATTTTTGTTTAACTTGTAACACAGATTTCTTCATGTAAACAACAAACCCACAATAAACCATCAAGATCCTGGCTTGACAGCCATATTTACTACAGAAATTAAAACACAGGCATGTTAATGACATTTAAATTTCAAAACAATTAATGCCAATAAAGAAAACATTGATTTCCATGTTGGATTCTAAGTGGACTGCAAAAAAATGCCAAAGTACAGGAACTGCAGATATGGAAAATGAAAAAGTATAATAATAAACTACAGAACACAAACTGTTGCACTCATTGTAAAGTTTTATTGCTGTGAGTTGAGAACATTAATTATAGAGTAGAAACTATTTTGCTTAATCCTCCTTTACATTCATCCAGTTGCTAAGACTAGGAGTATCCCGCAAGTGCACAGAGACTCCCAAATGCCCGCAAATTAATGATAATTTCTCGCAAACCGGTCGTTAAATACATTGCACACCCCTCTCGCCCCTACTCAGATACGTCGCTCACTCCACCCCTGACACCCCTCAACGGGCCTGACACAGACATACACACACACACACAACGCGCTGCAGACGTTTTGGCCCCAACGGCCTTCCATACTGAATCGACTCCCCTCAGATTCAACACGCATGATCACGTTCATCAAATTTGCTTAAACTAAGCGTCCTAAAGTATTACTGTATTTCACAAGGATTCTGACACAACAACGCGAAGCATACGCTTTCATTGCGTTCAATGAGGAAACACGCTAAACTTGGAGGGCTCATGCTGAAAGGCAGAGTAATGCCCTGACAGCTCGACTTCTCCAGAGACTTTCTGAGTACATTCACATAAGACACCAATACTCTGATTTTAATATGATTAAGATTATACTCTTATTAAAATTCTACCTTGTAGCCTAAGCAGCGATTTTATTACCTCAAAGGAACACCGAGTCACGAAATGCGGAGGATTTTCTTTCTGTTCGCCATGCGCTATCAACTTACAACAGAAGTCGAAAGTTAAAAATGAAACACCCGAAATTGCATGAAACTCTGGAGAGCCTGTGATGCGACTAATTGTTTTATACTGGAACTTGCCTTCAAAAAGTGCTTCCTTGGTCTTATCCACATTTATTGCATGTTGAACACACATCCAAGACAAAAACAGGAATTAAAAAAATCCTGCAACTGCGTTAATTGCGTAAATTTTTTTTAACGTGTTAATTATTTAAAATTAATCGCATGCGTTAACGCACTAATTTTGACAGCGCTAATATATATATATATATATATATATATATATATATATATATATATATATATATATATATATATATATATATACACACACACACACACACACACAGTAAACGAGTGTATTTCAGCACACACACACACTATAATCTGCCATTTTACTCCACTGAACTCCATATAAAAGACAGAAACTCTTCAGCACAGGCCGATCTAAAGGGTTAATGCTGACAACTGATGATCAACAGGAACAAGGACAAACTGTCCCTCTTATTCCTAACAGGGAAAACCAGCAACAGTCAAGAACACATGATTATCTGCTGTCATGGCTTTACAATCAATAAATGTGATTATAATGCAAGTCAAAAACAGCACCAACATAACCAAAGGGGAATCCATCTGAACACACACCAGGGTTAACAACTGTGTTTTTTTTCATTGCGTCAGGTCACCGTCTCCAACCGTCTGGTGTCTTCGCCTTGCTGTATCGTCACCAGCACATACGGCTGGACGGCGAACATGGAGAGGATCATGAAGGCTCAGGCCCTCAGAGATAACTCCACTATGGGTTACATGGCTGCCAAAAAGCACCTGGAGATCAACCCTGACCACCCCATCGTGGAGACTCTCCGGCAGAAAGCGGAAGCTGACAAAAACGACAAATCTGTGAAGGATCTGGTGATCCTGCTGTTCGAGACGGCGCTCTTATCCTCAGGCTTCACACTGGACGACCCGCAGACACACTCCAACCGCATCTACAGGATGATCAAACTGGGCTTAGGTGAGGCTCGCTTCCCGATTACAGTTTAGCTTTATTTCTGTAGGGCTTTCTATAATGTAGATTGTGTCAAAGCAGATAACATAGATGAAGATAAGAGAGTAAAAACCATAACATGTTCATCAGTTTCAGGTGTGAACGCACCATTACAGTGCTGAGAAAGCTGTACATGTGAGAAGCGTTTATTGGTTATGCTAATTGTAGATTGAAGAACTAAAGCGATCGCTCTGCTTTTTCTGTTCAGGCATTGATGAGGACGACCTGTCGGCAGAGGAGCCCAGTTCTGCCCCGATAGAGGAGATGCCGCCGCTGGAAGGAGACGACGACACATCCCGCATGGAGGAGGTGGACTGAGGAACACATCCAGCGTGTATTATTATGTAAATTAATCTATTTATCTTCACATTACTGATGGTTCTTCATCTGCATTCCAGTTCTTCGGTTAAACCATGCAACCGTCAACCTTCCCTTGTTTTGTATTTTTTGAGTTGTGATCGCATTGTTTTGTATTTATTAACATTCCTATGTTGATTTTTGAGTGTTTAAGGGACTCAAGATGTAAAGTATGACACTGATACTGTATTGCTGACATGACAGATGCTGAAATAAAGTGTTTAGAATATCAGCTCATGTGATGACTGTCTCTTCATCTGGATCAACAATTAAACCAATGGAAATAATAATATACACACACAGGAGTTATTAAAGTCAGACTGCAGGTTGCCAGATTGGAGCAACAATTATACCGATGGAAATAATAAACACACTTAAAAGTTATTTAAGTTAGACTGCAAGTTGTCAGATTGGAGCAAACAATCAGACCTTGGGAAATACTAATATACAAATAGAAGTTATTTATGTCGGACTGCAGGTTGCCAGATTGGAGCAAACAGGTTTACCGATAGAAATTATAATAAACACACATAGAAGTTATTTAAGTCTGGCTGCAGGTTGCCAGACTGTAGGAAAAAAATTATACGGAGGGAAAATAAACACATATAAGTTATTTAAATCAGGTTGCCAGATTGGACCACACAATTACACCATGTGAAAGAATAATAAATGCACAGACGTTATTTAACTCAGGCTACAGGTTGCCAGATTGGAGCAAACAATTATACCATGGGAAATAATATACACACATAGAAGTTATTTAGGTCTGGCTGCAGGTTGCCAGATTGTAGAAAAAATTATACCGATTGAAAAATAATAAACACACATAGAAGTTATTTAAGTCGGACTGCAAGTTGCCAGATTGAAGCAAAAAATTATACCACAGCAAATTATAATAAACACACATAAGTTATTTAAATCAGGTTGCCAGATTGGACCACACAATTACACCATGGGAAATAATAATAAATGCACATAAACATTATTTAACTCAGGCTACAGGTTGCCAGATTAAAGCAATCAATAATGCCATGGGAAATAATAATAAACACACTAAGAACTTATTTAAGTCAGACTGCAGGTTGCCAGATTGGAGCAACAATTATACCGATGGAAATAATAAACACACAGAAAAGTTAATTAGGCGTGCTGCAGGTTGACAGATTGGAGCAAACAATTATACCATGGGAAATATTATACACACATAGAAGTTATTTAAATCAGGCAGCAGGTTGCCAGATTGTAGAAAAAAATTATACCGATGGAAAAATAATAAACACACATAGAAGTTATTTAAGTCGGACTGCAAGTTGCCAGATTGAAGCAAACAATTATACCACAGCAAATTATAATAAACACACATAAGTTATTTAAATCAGGTTGCCAGATTGGACCACACAATTACACCATGGGGAATGATAAAAAATGCACATAAACGTTATTTAACTCAGGCTACAGGTTGCCAGATTGAAGCAATCAATAATGCCATGGGAAATAATAATAAACACACTAAGAACTTATTTAAGTCAGACTGCAGGTTGCCAGATTGGAGCAACAATTATACCGATGGAAATAATAAACACACAGAAAAGTTAATTAAGGCGGGCTGCAGGTTGACAGATTGGAGCAAACAATTATACTGATAGAAATAATAAACACACTTAAAAATTATTTAAGTTAGACTGCAGGTTGCCAGATTGGAGCAAACAATCAGACCTTGGGAAATAATAATATACTCAAATAGAAGTTATTTAAGTCGGACTGCAGGTTGCCAGATTGGAGCAAACAGTTATACTGATAGAAATTATAATAAACACACATAGAAGTTATTTAAGTCTGGTTGCAGGTTGCCAGACTGTAGGAAAAAATTATACAGATGGAAAAAATAATAAACACACATATAAGTTATTTAAATCAGGTTGCCAGATTGGACCACACAATTACACCATGTGAAAGAATAATAAATGCACATAGACGTTATTTAACTTAGGCTACAGGTTGCCAGATTGGAGCAAACAATTATACCGATAGAAATAATAATAAACACAGAGCAGTTATTTAAGTCAGACTGCAGGTTGCCAGATTGGAGCAAACAATTATACCATGGGAAATAATATACACACATAGAAGTTATTTAAATCGGGCAGCAGGTTGCCAGATTGTAGAAAAAATTATACCGATGGAAAAATAATAAACACACATAGAAGTTATTTAAATCGGGCTGCAAGTTGCCAGATTGAAGCAAAAAATTATACCACGGCAAATTATAATAAACACACATAAGTTATTTAAATCAGGTTGCCAGATTGGACCAGACAATTACACCATGGGAAATAATAATAAATGCACATAAACGTTATTTAAGTCAGACTGCAGGTTGCCAAATTGGAGCAAACAATTATGCTATTGGAATCAATAGTAAACACAAATATCTGTTATTTGACTCAGGCTGGAGGTTGCCAGATTGGGGGAAACAATTACACCATGGTAAATAATAATAAATACACATAGAAGTTATTTAACTCAGGCTGTAGGTTGCCAGATTGAACCAAACAATTACACCATGGGAAATAATAATAAACGCACATAGAAGTTATTTAACTCAGGCTGTAGGTTGCCAGATTGAACCAAACAATTACACCATGGGGAAAAATATAAACACACAAAGGAGATTAATTAAATCAGGCTGCAGGTTGCCAGATTGGACCAAACAATTATACCTCAGGAAAACATTATAACCACACATCTAAATTAAGTCAAGCTGCAGGTTGCCAGATTGTAGCAAAGTTTTATGCCATGGCTAATAATAAACCAAGCGGCAACATCCCGTTCTTCTTAGTGAAGCCAATACGGAAGTAACTGAAACTCCTGTTCTAGTAACTGAAAACTGTTCTCTGACTGCAATGGTAAAATGGTAAGTTTTACAGCTTATAAAACATGTTTACAGCCTGCTACAAAAGATGGCTTTGGTTCATAAAGCTAATTTTACCCTTCATGACAATTGTGAGAGGTGAATTATTTTATAACTCATCCGTTTCATTTTTAGTAAGTTTTATTAAGTCTGCATAATTAAGGGCGTGGCCACTTCAGTGACAGCTAGGTCTCGCTGGACGCTGTCTCATCACCTCAGCTGATTCCGGCTGATTAGCCGCTGAACTTGTTTTGCTATGTGGCTTTACACAGTCAGTCGCCTTTTGGGATTATTTCCCACAATAATCAGATGATACGGCATGCTGTGTGCACTTAACTGTGCTCACAAACCATTCAAGTTGCCTCCATTTCCCAGGTGAGTGACAGTGTTGTGAGTGCTGGTCAGGTGTGCGTGTGTGCTTGATGCTTCTGACAGTCCATGTCGCTCCTGTCGCAGTTCATCTAAAACTCCACATCTATAATCCTCTGAGTCTATGCTGACGTTATCTTCAGCAGCTCAAACACTCTAATGGCTAATGGACAGACGGCTGCTTCTCACTCAGGGCTGCTGTTTATGCTAATGAGGGAGAGGTGGGCACTAGTGGGCGGGGCTTTGCTTCTCTGTTGACACGTACAAAGGGAGAATGTCAATCAAAGTGCTTCACTCATCAAGTCTGATAATATACAAACACAATTAACTCATGTTCCCCATTAGAAACTGGATTTATTTACATACGGTTACCACACAAGTGGGTTTAAACCCCTTATAGAAGTGATCTTTACATAAAAAGTGGCCTTTTTGTTCCAAAAGCAACACTTCCAACCCTTATGGCTGGGAAACCCAGGTTTCTAATGTACAGTGTCCAGCAGATGGCAGCAAAATAATAACATTATTCACTGCAGCAGCAGCGGAGGAAAATTCAAACACTTAAACGAGACACACACGAGTCTGTAAAGCAGCACAGAAAACATCTAATATCATGCACACACTCATTACTGTGACTTCAATGGCTAATCAGTCATCTGTAAAGCCCTGCTGAGTGTCAATCGCTGCATTAAACTGTACATGAAGTGTAATATGAGCAGCAGAGAGTGAAAGATGAAGAGAAGCTTCAATATATCAGTTATTATACTGAATGATGAGTTGAAGTGAGGAGATTAAACACACACACAATCACACACACACACAAACACACTGACTGACAGCGGCTCCACACACACACGGACGGATGAGCCATGCCGAATAAAACCAAAAAAGACAAGGTGAGGAAAGACTTCCAGAGTGTTCAAAAGCAGAAAACAAACATTTGGAACCGGAGAAATAAGCCTGTTTTCTTCAGCCGGAGGAGTTTCAGCCCTCAGCTTTAGCTTTAGCATGCGTGCTAACTGCAGCCTCACCTCAGAAACCGGCTTTAACAGCAGACAGTTGTAAACTTTATCACATTCACAACTCTAGGAGATAAACACAGCACTTTTATGACGTTAATCGAACGCTCTGTTTGTATTTATGAGGAGTTTGTTTTGTGCAGATGCAGTTTTTTGTAGCGAAGCTAACTTTAGCCTGTTAGCAGGGTAGCCGCTATTAGTGATTTCTAGTGTAAATATCATGTTTTCCTCACAATGTAAGCTTAAATGTACGACATGTCTATTAAAGTATATAAGCTGAATGCATTTTTACTGTCTTGGGTCGTGTTTTAATGTGAGTTATTAAACCGGATTGCTAATGATAGCTGTCAGTCTAGACATGATTATAAAATCTCTACTTTCACTTTATTCCAGAAGCAAATGAGGATTTTAATGTGTTTGCTTTTATTTTTAGGATTCTCCGAAATCAGCAAAAGTGGGTAAAACTGCAGGACAGGAGAATTCAGAACATGAGGTACTTTTTTTATATAAATAAATATATACAGTTGATCTGTATGTCATATCATTTGTAATGATACTGATTAATATGAATGTGTATATACAGATTTATTTAAGTCTTGGTGAAGTAGAGACACCGCTTTTATTTGAGTTTTTCTAGAGCAGATTATTGTTTCATGGTTGTCATGATTCTGGCTTGTTTTGATGGATAAGCTGAGTTAAAATTTGGCCACAGATTAAAGGTTGCCTGCAGAAATGCATTATTAAGCACGCTCTGCTGGGATTCATTCATGATTTTTGCACATTTTAGAGAGGTAGTTGATTTACGCTTCCTTTTATATGTAGATTTTTGTATGTTTTTATTCATCCATTCCACCCAGATAAACACTGTTCATCTATACTCAGCCTGCTGTCAGAATTAATGTATGATTATTGGAATGATTATTTATAGCTAGGGCTAGATGGAACTTGCGGACATTTTTTTGCAGAGAATTTTGCAAAAAATCTGCAAATTAATGCTGAACGATAATAGGAATATCATCGCAAAAACATTAATATATGAAATAAAAAAGAATACATTTGTAACTTGTATTTAATGTTTGCAATGCAAATCCAATTAGATTCACCTATTTGGTAAACAAACGCAGTCTCTCATATAATATCTCTTCTAAAACAGAGGTTCCCAAACTTTTCAGCCTGCGACCCCCAATATGACGATGCCAGTGACTCGCGACACCCAATATCCTGGTTATGAATACAGAAACCTTGTATGCAATGTCACACACACACCAATACACCCAGGTATATTCTTCGTTTAATGTCAGTGCTGTAAATGAGCTTGAATCTTTAACCTGGTGTTATAAAATCAATCGGCTGCATCTGACGCTATTGCTGTGTCTTTAATATAATGTAATTACTACTGGGGTCGCAATCCAATAGAACTAGTAACTATAAGCTACTATAGTAACTGTATAGTAATTATAAACGACTATATTTTTTCTCTTCAGTAGGTTATGGATAAAATATGGTCATTCTTATATGATTTAATAATAATAAATCGATTTTTTTAAATCACCAGGCGACCCTCCTTCATTGTCCTGCGACCCCTCGAGGGGTCCCGACCCCCACTTTGAGAACCCCTGTTCTAAAAGACAGAACATAATACTTTACAAACTGTATTGTAAATAAATCGTTTGAACGTTTTCATATTACTATTATTAAATCACAATATTATTATTGAAATTAATTTTAAGCGAATGATTCTGACCTGTATAAATGATCTATGTCTAATATGTACATTGTCGACTGTTTTAACTGTATAAATAAGAAATGTAAATTGTTACTAAAAAGAAATAAAAAAGTTTTTCTTTAGCTCTCTTGTAGATTCACAGAAATGTAGACAGCGTCCTCTAGTGGATTTGTCACCTGAAATGTACATCAGAACATGCCCTAAAGCCTCCTTTCCGTCACACGACAAGCGTCAGACCGGAAGTCATTCATTTCCAATGGAGAGCAGTCCGGGAGCTGCGTGGAGTTCCGATCATCTCCGTATGCGGAAAATTCAGATCCGAATTGAGCTGCAGATCCGTTAAAATATTTGAATTCCTGCGACTAGACCGTTTGCGACCGGCCAACCGGATGAGATGTATTCCAGTGTTGTACAAGCAGGTCCGTGTGCGCGAGATGAGAAATAGGACTTTATTTGGTTATTTTTGGAATTATAAAAAAGTCTATATTAAAAAAAAAACATTTCTGTTCTTAAATGTAAGTAAGAAAGTAATAAACGTATATTATTTAATGTTATCTCCACATTCCCTCCAATATTTTAGCGGTTTCTAGTATTCATTCCTTCATTATTCCATGTAGTCGCACAGAGAATAAAGGCTCTTGCTTTTGCCCTCCTTTATTTCGGACACAGGGAATCAGCTTCTCTCCCATGGTGCATGACAACACTGAAAATACTGTGCGACTGCCACAAGGGGGCGTATTCCGACAGTCGTGTCCAAACGTTGTGTGCAGTGAAAGGCGGCTAAAGTGACTCATTTCAGATTCATAAAAATGTAGACAGCGCCCTCTAGTGGATTTGTCACCAGAAATGCACATCAAAACACACCCTAATGCCGAGTTCAGACTGCATGATTTTCAGAGTAGTCGTGTCACAGATGTTTTCACACTGCTTGACTATCTGGGCTGGCGTTTCGTCTCTGCTTTGTTTACACTGCAAGATGGATCGGGGGACTTTCACATTGCATGACTTTACTATAGAAAGAATCCCCAATAACTTTGTCCAAACTACGTCTCAAAGCCAAAAACACGTCGTATATCTTTTGTTATTAACTACATAATGAGAAAGAAGCCTTTAATGGGGTAGAACATGTACATGTTGGCTCACCTGGGTTTAAAGGGAATTAGCCATTTCTCCTCAACATTGATAATAAACTAATTTCCTTCTGCATGAAACGTCAAACAGACACGGTTGCTCCTGAGTCCTGTCAAACCTCCACTGGCCTGCAGCAGGTATACACACACGCACACACAAGTGAATGCCGCTCTCTCATTGGCTGTAGGCGATCGCTGATGTTATTTTCAGTCAAAACTCAATTCACACGGCATGATTTGAATCGCCGACAGCTCCAGATATTCAGCACGCCAAATATCTCGCAGGCATTGGCGACTCATTGGCGATTCTCTCAGATTGCCTCTTTGAAAGTTCATACTGTGTGATTGCCACTCACGTGCACGAGCAGCGATTTGCCTGTGATTTCAGGCATTTGTCGGCGATTTCCCAACACCTGTCGGCGAGCCAAAGTCGGGGCTAAAATCACGCAGTCTGAACTAGGCATAAGTGACGTATTTCAGATTCATAAAAATGTAGTCAGCGCCCTCTAGTGGATTTGTTGCCGGAAACATACCAAAAAGATCGCGCTCAAAGTATTATATTCTAAATTCTGAAAAATGGAGACAGCGCCCTCTAGCAGATTTGGCATCTTAAACAAACAACAGAACATACCCAAGGTAGCATACTTCAGCTTAGGGTTGTAACAATATACCGGTATGACGGTCTACCACGATTTGAACGTGCACGATTATCATACCATGAACAATTGCATATCAACGGTTTTAACCCTTAAAGACCGAGACAGCCGCCCGCGGCTAAAAATAAGTATTGCTCTTAAATGTTTAATAACTTTTGATCCGCTGATCCGATTCATACAATTCAAAGATTGGCATAAAGAAGAGAATATCAGCTTTCCAGTGCTGTATCACATAACATTCGCGGCTCCGGAGGCTCTGGAATCAGTGCGGTTACGTCATCAACATTTGACAACGCTGAATTGACAAAGAAACGCTCGTCACTGTGTCTCCGGACAAACCAGACACGATACATTGATGCATTGTCCCTCCTCCATGCCCAGATTGGTTCAAACTCGCTATATCACAACCAATAAGCATAGGTTTCACTTTTGTTTGTGGACCAAAAACAAGCTTTTTGAACAACACGGAATGAGAGATAGGCATACATTTATGCGCGGCTAAATAAAACGCAAAAAAAAAAGTTTTGCATGAAATGATTCTCAAGCAGGTCGCACACCAGAAGCGACGCTCGGCGGCGCGCCGCGCAGCGCCACGTATTTTAGAATTCTAATTATAGGTTTCTATCAGGATACACACACCGGCGCCGCAAGTCGGCGGCTGTCGGCGGCGCCCGGCGACGGCTCAGGACGCAGTTCATTTTTCAGCCGCGCCACAGAGCGCCATCTGATTAGTTTCATGTTAAATATCATTCGAATGTGCGCGTCTGGTGTGCGATACTTTAATCTGTCATGTACGCGCCGTGTCGCGGCGCCGAGCGGCGCTTCTGGTGTGCGACCTGCTTCATACTAAGTACTTTTGCATGCACAGCAGCACAGAAACATGACAAAACAGTGACACAGCAAAGACGAACTGCTGCTCTTGCTGTTTTCAAAAGACACAAATGAAGATGCAGCTGTTTGTCTGCATTGCAGACAACCATATCCAAATCCATATCCACAGACAACCATATCCATGCTGGCACATAAAACCTAAGGATGTTCCATATTGAATCTAGTTTCGTTATGTAACTATTTATAGTATAGTAAATATTTATATCTATTTTTTACTGAGGATTTGCACCATGTTTATTTGGACTTTGACACATTATTTATTATTTTCCTATTTTTTTATTTGTTCATTGTAAGTGGTGTTGTTCATAGCAACTGAAAATATATTATTTGGAAAAAGTCAAATTTGCTTCACTGTTCTATTATTTTGTAACATTTGTAACATACCGTATACCGCGAAACCGTCAAACCGTGGTATTGTTTTAGACGATTATCATACCGTAAAAAATTCATACCGTTACAACCCTACTTCAGCTTCACACAAATGTAAGCAGTCAAATGTAAAAAAATAAATAAATAAAAAAATCAAAAAAAATTTTAAATGCATGAAATGTTTTTGCATTTCTCTGATGTTTTCTGCGCTCTTTCTTTAGAGAGGTGATGTTAAAGTATGAAATGTCCTTTGTTTTTCGTCAGCAGGCTTCGAATAAGAAGGGTGGGAACAGCGTCCCGCCGGCCACACAGCTGCTGAAGGGTAAGCAGTCTGGATCTCAGACTCCAGTCAAGAAAGAAAAGCGTCCGAACTCCTCCAGATTCAGCCTCAGCAACAACCGAGAGCTTCAGAAGCTGCCCGTTTTCACAGGTGAGACGCCGAACATGATTTATGCTGAGTTTCCATATGAAGATGCTGGAATATTGCATTAAACATTTGCAAATAAAGCAGCGTTTCCAGTCAGTGATGAACAGAAGAGAACAAAACCAGCACGTCCTGATCTGTTGAAGAGCTTCTATTCTGTCCCTTTAAAATGCATCGCTGCTGTCTCTTGAGTGTGTAGTTTAGTGAAGTTTGACATAATGCTCTCTAAGGGTGCTTTCACACCTGTGAATCGATTCAGTTGTTCCGAAACAGAGATTACAAATGTTACATTGTTGCTCTTTGCTCTTGGAGCGGTTCGCTTTCACACGGCAAAGTTTCTAATCGGACCAAAAGAGCTAAAACAAGTCACATGTGAGTAAACTCTCCTCACATTGGTCAGAGTGTCAGGGTTTATTTTGCAGCGTCCCGCTCAGCTGTCAGGAGAGGTGGTGGTTTGGTGGTGATTGACAGGGTGCGCGCGCGACGTGTCAGAGGAGAGACGCAGTGGGGAGGGGTAAGAAAGGTGCGCGATGATGCCTATTTGAGGACCGCAAGTGAGACGCGAGATTACCGGGAGATCATCACTCGTTTGCGGGCATCCGGAGACTCGCGAAACTTCCCGCCATACTCATAATTCTCTCTTCATATAGCCATAAATAAGCCTATTACATATCCATAAAACACTGTGATATAACCGCGCTCGGATCGTTTGCTTTCTCACTGCAATCGATCCGCTCCAGAGTTCGTTTCAATCGAGCCGAGACCACCTCATTCAAGCGATCTCGGAGCGGTTACTTTGGCGCGGAACAGAGCGCGATTGCCCTGTTCACATATGCCAATCGAACCGCGCTAACTGGGCAAACGAGATACGTTCCGAAACAAAAGTGTAGGTGTGAAAGCACCCTAACTCTCTGAAACTGTCCCCTTTAGGCTTTGATCTTGATTGTGGGGTTTTGTTGATGATCGCTTTAAATGCAAATGAGACTTAATAAAGGGTGGAGTTACAAACGCCTGTGCATCACCATAGCGACAGATTGAAGACAGGACTAACATCATCAGTGTAAAAAAGTGCATTTGTACGAGAGACAGCAAATACTGTGATCTGATTGGATCGTGAAAAGCTTTCTGAGAGATTATTGGTGAATGTAATTTAGCCCCGCCCACAGGACTTCGAGTAACGTAAGTGAAAAAGGAAAGTGATTTTGGAAGAAAAATAAATTTGGTTATTTGTACTATGGCGTCACGGTGGCTCAGTGGTTCAAGAAGGTTGCTGGTTCGAGTCCCGGCTGGGTCAGTTGGCGTTTCTGTGTGGAGTTTGCATGTTCTCGCCGTGTTTCCTCCGGGTGCTCCTGTTTCCCCCCACAGTCCAAACACATGTGCTATAGGGGAATTGGCTAAGCTAAATTGTCTGTAGTGTATTAGTGAGTGTGTGTGTTTTCCACTACTGGGTTGCTGCTGGAAAGTCATCCGCTTTGTAAAAAATATGCTGGAATAGGTGGCGATGCAGTGGTGCAGTAGATAGGGCTGTCGCCTCACAGCAAGAAGGTCGCTGGTTCGAACCTCGGCTCGGCTTAGTTTGCGTTTCTGTGTGGAGTTTGCATGTTCTCCCTGCGTTCGTGTGGGTTTCCTCCGGGTGCTCCGATTTCCCCCACAGTCCAAAGACATGCGGTACAGGTGAATTGGGTAGGCTAAATTGTCCGTAGTGTATGAGTGTGTGTGTATGAATGTATGTGTGTTGGGATGTTTCCCAGAGATGGGTTGCGGCTGGAAGGGCATCCGTTGTGTAAAAACGTGCTGGATAAGTTGGCGGTTCATTCCGCTGTGGCGACCCCAGATTTATAAAGGGACTAAGCTGACAAGAAAATGAATGAATGAATGAATGAATGCTGGAATAGTTGGCGGTTCATTCCGCTGTGGCAACCTCTGAAATAGAGACTAAGCTTATTGTTATATAGTTGATCAAAAGGTTCAGCAGCCTTTGAATACATTTCTTCACTGTAAAAGGGAAATACTTAGCTATTATGTAACTTAGATTTACATTAGACAAATACTACTTATTTTTTTATTCATTTATTGATTGATTTTCAATTTTATTTATTTTAATTTTATTTATTTATTATTTTAATTTATTTAAAAATATTTAAAATTTATTTATTAATATATTTTAAATTCAATTATTTAATTTAATTTATTTATATATTTTTATATATTTTTAATAAATTTATTTTAATTTTTTATTTATTTACATTTGATTAATTAGAATAAAGATTTGTAGTGATTTATTTAAATTAAATTTTTATTTATTATAATTTATTTTATTTAAAATTAATTAATTAATTTGTATATATTTTAAATTTAATTATTTAAATTTATTTATTTATTACTTTTTTTCTTTTAATTATTGACATTTATTTTCAGTGTAAAATTATTACTTATGTTTAAATGCCAAAACTTGTCATTTAAACTTGTATTAAGTCCAAAGCGAAATGGACAATTGTTTGTTTTGATTTAATTGTTTTGTGTGGTATTATTTAGTTACTGAGCAGCAATAAACAACAGTTTTAAATATAAGCAATTTTCATGTGATTTTTCTTATCTAGTAGTATATTGAAATGAATGCATGCATAATAATCGTGATAACCGTGATTATTCCTCAGACTATAATCGCACAACCAAAACCTATAATGGTTGCATCCCTACTGACAGCTGAAGGGATTCATTAGAGTTTCTCAGACAGATCAAGATAAGTGTGCAAAGGTCTCACCTTTGAGATTGTAGTGGAGTAAAGCAGGAACATAAATACACTTACAAATTGTTCTTCTTCTTAACAGTGAACACCAGCAGCACTCAAGAATGCATGAATATATGCTGTCAGGGCTTTCCAGTCAAAAACGTTGATTATAATGGAAGTCAATGGGGCAAAAACAGCACCAACATCACCAAAGGGGAGTCAATCTGCCCAGCGTGTGTTGTTGAGTTCATGAAAAATTGTAAGCATTTTCCCAAAATATGCGTCAAAGTAAGTTTTGTCAGCAAAAAGCATCCTATTTGCTGAAACACAGAGAAAGATGTGGCCAAAGTAAGACTCAAAATCAGCCCAGAGTGGATGAAAACAACCCAACAGCACACACAAGGGTTAATAATATACCATGCTTCAATATAGAGCACAGAATATAAATAGCTGTATAGCTAAATAGTTATGAGAAGCTGTTTTCAGTTCCTCATTTGTGAGCGTGATGTTGTGTGTGTAATCATTGCGCATCACATTATCTTCCTCTTCTCGTGTTTATTTTCTCACATGTGACCTAATTAAAGCTGTTAAACTGACCACACGATAGCAGACATGAATGTGCACAGAGTTCAATGAGCTTTATCTAAATATATATGCAAAATACTTTGAAATGTGCTCAGTTTTTATAATCTGAACTCAGTAAGATGCACACAGAAAATTTGCAACATAATGAAATAGGTGATTTTTTTTAGCCGAATATGCTTAAACATACAATTGATTATAGTAAAATAAACAATAGGGGCAGCATGATGACAAAACCTTGATCCTTTTCACACTAATAATATTCACTGGGGCATATTAATGTCAAATATAGGATTTTACATCAAATAAACACAACTAAACAAATTAACATTATCCATGAATGTTTTCGCTCAAATGTAGACAGCGCCCTCTAGTGGATTTCTCATCTGAAACTTACAGCACAACATATCTAAGTGACATATTTCAGATTCGCAAATATGTGGACAGCGCCCTCTAGTGGATTTGTCACCTGAAACCTAAAGAGAAAACATAACCCAAGTAATATATTTTTAATTCGCAAAAATGTTGACAGCGCCATCTAGTGGATTTGATATCTGAAACACAAAACAAAACGAACCTAAATTGTTATATATTATATTCGCAAAAATGTAGACCACGCCCTCTAGTGGATTTGTCTCCTGAAACCTAAAGAGAAAACATAACCCAAGTAATATATTTTTAATTCGCAAAAATGTTGACAGCGCTATCTAGTGGATTTGATATGTGAAACACAACAAAACGTATCCTGAGAAACATATTTCAGATTCATAAAAAAATGTAGACGGCGCCCTCTAGTGGATTTGTCAACTGAAACGTACAACAAAACGTACTCATTTATTAATCTGGGGTCGCCACAGCGGAATGAACCGCCAACCTAAACAGCACGTTTTTACGCAGCAGATGCCCTTCTAGCCGCAACCCATCTCTGGGTAAAACGTACCCAAAGTAATATATTTTATATTCTCAAAAATAAAGGCTGTGCCCTCTCATGAATTTGGCATCTGATAACTACAATAAAAACATACCCAGAGTAACATATTTCAAATACGCAAAAATGTAGACAGCATCCTCTAGTGGATTCGTTATCTGAAACACAAAACAAAACGTTCCCAAAGTAATATATTTACATTCATTAAAATATAGACAGCGCCCTCTTGTGAGTTTGATATTTTAAAAATATTAAATAACATACCCAAAGTAACATATTTCAGATTTGTACAAATGTGGACAGTGCCCTTCTGTGGATTTAATATTTGAAACAAAAAAATGCCCTAAATTATATATTTCAGAGTTCAAAACTGTAGAAAGCGCCCTCTAGTGGATTTGTCACCTGAAATGTACATCAAAACATACCCTATGTAACGTATTTCAGTTTTGCGAAAATGTAGACAGCGCCTCCTAGTAGATGCGTTACCTGTAACCTTTAGCAAATTAAACCTTAAGTGATATATTTTAAATTCGCACAAAATGTAGACAGCGTCCTCTAGTGGATTTGTTATCTGAAACGCAACAAAATGTATCCTGAGAAACTTATTTTAAATTCATAAAAATGTAGACAGCGCCCTCTAGTGGATTACTTAAAAAATATTAAAACATACCTTAAGCGACGTATTTTAGATTCTCAAAAATGTAAACAGCGCCCTCTTGTGGATTTGTAATCTGAAACATACAATAAAATGTACCCAAAGTAATA